AGTAACTGACCCTGGCGTTCCAGGAGGGGTGCCAGTACAGCGGTTTCCAAGGTCCCCCCACTTAGGCTGGCGCACCCCCTCACCCCTCGGTGCCCTCTGCCCGCTTCCCTGGCCTCCGTTTACGCGGCCCCGGGATTAGCATCTCTGTGAAGTCCCGCAAACAATGCCTGCTGTGCGGGGAGATGAAAGTCGGGCGCCGGGTGGCGGGGCGCGTTTGAAGTCCCCGAAAGGTGGGGCCGCGGGAATCCGACGGCGCAGAAGCGTGGAGATAAAGGCAGGTGAGAAGTGCTGCGTGGCCTGCGCTTCCCTTCCCAGGACCCCAGCCTGGGGTTCCGGGACAGGCGCAGCCTCCAAACGCGCGGCGGGAGCCAGTCCCGCGGGACGAAAGCGGACGCTACTCCCACGGCAGCCGGGCCCGCGCCCTCGCTGCCCCTTCGCATTCGCGCCCCTGGCCTCCCGCATACCCCCGCAGCTCCAGCCCCGGCTCCCTCTTGGCCCGGCCTCCGCCTCATACTCCCTCCTCCCGGTCTGGGAGCCCCGGGGTGGGCGGGCTCAGTCCCCGCTGAGGATCCCCTTTGCCCGGACTGGGTGCTCCCGGAGACACGCGCAGTGAGCGCGAGCTCGGGGCTTCCGGGGCTTAGGTGTCCGGCGATCCAATCCCCCAGTGGTCATGAAGTCCTTACTCCAACCTTTAGAGCTATTCCGAAAAGGAACTATGTTCCCTGCCTGCGCCCTTGGACGCCTAGGCCCTGGCTCAGGACGCCGGCGCGGGGTGCGGGGGAACCTCGGGCTCCACGCGCTCGCAGCGGGCGCCTGATGCCCCGTCGGCGCGTCCACGCCTGCATTCTAGGGGCTCCAGGTCTGTGCAGGAGCCCCCGATCCTGGCCCCAGATACCACCAGGCCTCGACCACTGGGCCGTGGCTCCGCCCGTTCCTCGGCGCTGGGGTGGGGAGGGTGGCGCAGGTGTGAGGGGTCACGTTTCCCCCGGCCTGCAGGGAACAATTTCCAACTCCCCGAAGGAAATGCAGAAAAAAAAAAAAGTCCTCTTCTACACGTTGAGGTTTTGTTTCTGCTATTTTGAGGATTGGGGACAAAAAGCAAAACTTTCTACATAAGAATGCCACAGCATACACTGTCCTGCTAAGTATTTTTTCTTCAGGGCGCTTTAGAACCCCCCGCCCCGCCCCGTCCTGCTTTCTCCCTGGCCAAGGAGTAGAATAATGAAACCAAAGACTTTTATTTTATAAACCACTTGATCTTTGCTTGGGAAACTCTATTAATTGAATGGGTTTGCCTTTTTTGCCAGTCCCCTTTATCATTATTTATGGGCTTTAAATTGTTTAAAGTTCCCTTGACGTTCAATTTACAAGTTTGGGGACTTTTTTTGTTCTGCCTTTTGTCCTGGAGAAAGACATCGTGTTGGAAGTGCTTTGAAAAGCCAAACATGAGAGGTTGGCAGTGAAAGGAAAGCGGGCGAGATCCCTTTTAATTCTGTCCTGTTGGTGAATAGCTCTTTTACATAATTGCAGGAGCTATTTCAAAGCCAGCCAAGGGCTGACTTCACTTAGAACCACATGGAGTCTATTTTGGGCTTTCAGATTAAAAAAAAAAAGCTGAATAAAATAGTTTAAAAAGATGAGGCATCAATGCTTTCTGCTACTTGCAAATTGGTGTGTCTGATGGGGAATTTTACACAAGCACCCCTTTGTAAGTGTGTCTTGGGCTTGGGAGGGACTGTTCTGGGTTAGCTGGGTGTGAATCCCAATTGCCCTTCCATACATAAAACCCATCCCAAGCTATTTCCCAACTATTGCCAGGAGCGAGAGCTGCGGCAATGACCGAGTGATCAGGCCACTCGAAGTCCCTATAAATAATAACAACACGGTTGCCCGAGAAACCAGCCTGTAGCCTGAAACTGGGAGGTGGGCTGGAGCGGCCGGCCCGCGAAGCCTGCCGTTTCCCCTCACCCAGGGAGACCTGGGGCTCCCACGCTGCCTTCTCTCCACGACCACCCGCGACCTCGACCCTGGCAGCAGCTTGGCAGCGCGCGGTTCGCGGTGCTTCCTCCTCAGGCTGGGCTAGGCAGGCCAACGTAAGTTTGCTGCATGAATATTCATTTACTTGTGCATTTTGCATTTTACACTCAACCTCCGTACACCTGCGTGCAAAAGCTGACTGGGACAGCCTCGAAGCGTGGCGACAACTTAATTACCATCACATTTACTGTCATCTGATATTTTAAGTGGCCTAATAGGATCTTGACACCAGCTTGGCACCGGGCGAGGAGGGTGTCCAGGGGCTGGGCCAACTTCATCCCTGCGGGAGGTTCCCTGGAAAAAAAGTTCGCAGAAGTTAACTGGAGTTGGAGGACGCAGCTCTCCCTTTGGGTGTGTCCTTCACTCTTCCTAATCAGAAGGAGAGGATGGGGGACTCTTGAAGCAAAGTTGCAAAGATCTGTGCCAACTAGTTTTCCCCTTGCAGGCTGGGCTGAACTGAATCACCAAGGGTTCTGCAGTTTGAGGCAGTTCCAAGCCAGGAACATAGGCTCCGAAGGATGGATAAGCCGTGTACTCGTCTCTTGCTGCCCATAAATCTCAACAAGGAGCAGAGGAAAAACTCTAAAGGCTTTTATTATCCGCTGTCCCCATGCTCTGAACGCTTTGCAGGTAACTGAGGTGCCCGGAATGAATCTTGTTAATCACCGAGAAACACAAGGATCCTTTTATGACGCGAACAGTCGTTTTCTAAGCAGTTAAGCATTAGATGAGAAAATATTACTGCATTGCATTCGAGAAAAAGCACACTAGTAAATAAAATTCATATTGACGAGAATTCTCTGAACTCACTAATAAAAGAAGATTAGTATTATAACCCCTGTAGTCAATACTTCCCACAGCAATTTATGGATGCAAATAATATGCTATCACATTATTTCAACTGTAGCTGTAATTCGGTGGACCTAAATCTTCTTGCTGAACTTTAAATGTGGAATTAACACTAAAATAATCAAAGGAACCTCTGTTTCCCAGAGAGTAATCGGGGATGGAAATTCCTAGAACAATATTTTAATGCCAAAACAGCAAAGTGGATGGCAAATCTGCCTAGGCAAAATGAGTAACAGCTTACACAGTCATGCCAGTGTCAAGCGGCAAAGGGACCTGGCTGTATCAACGTAAATCAAGCAAAGAGTCGAGCGGTTTTTTCTTAGTACTCAAAAAAACAAGGTGACTATGCCCAAGATGGTGTGACTGTAACTATCTCATAATGAGAGGGAGTATTTATTATGCTCATAAAGAAATCAGCCTTTTGCCCTGGGCTTCGATTTTTTTCCCTTCCCCTTCTCTTCTTTTTCTTCTTTTGTAGGAGGGGAGAAAGAAGGGTAGAACTTAGAGACCCCCACAGACACCTCCTTTCCCGTGGATCCCAGTGGAAATTCATTTCCCTTCACATCGCCTAAGCCACCTCCGGGTCTGGGCGTGAAGGGAGCGGAGGCAATACAAGCAGCGTCCTAATGAATTCCTTTCAAACCGCCTGCTGCCGGAGCCATCTATTACTGCGGCCTGGAGTGGGGAAACGCGTTTGAGACGTCTTTGTCCGGGTGGGGGGTGGGGGGAGGCGAGAAGGAGGAGGGCGGCTGGATGCGCGGCCAGCGAGTTTTCTCAGCACTCCGGGGAGCCGAGGATGCACCCTCCCCTCTCTCCTCCAGGGCCCTGTTTGGTGGGCGGTGGGTCCCCAGGCGACTCCGGGCTGAGGAGGTGGTCCAGGATTAAGACGTCCCCCGGGGGCCTTCAGGTTAAAGCAAGAAAAAGAGAGCGAGAAAGAAGAGCTTCAAAGAATCGGGTCGATAAATTCATAAAGATCGATTTATCTTTATCTCCCAATTAAATGTGCTTGTAAGTGATACATAACACACGTCCAACACGGGCCAACTCCCCAACCACTAGCCCCTTGGCGTGAGCTGATTTTTAATGACTGGCGTTAACAATGCCCTTCTCTCCTCTCCTCCCGAGCCCGGTGCTTGTCGGCCGTTCCGGGCGAACGTCTAGACCCGGGAAGTTGGAGCCGAGGCCCTGGAGGCGCGTGGAAGCACCGCGCGCTCTGGAGCGCTTTGCATGGTCTGCCTTTGCCACGAAATGATTCAGTTTTAAAAGAGAACATAAGAACTGAAAGTTCTGGTTTTTATCATGGTGAAGGTGATAAAAAAAAAAACATTCCTAGCACCCACCCTCTCCCCGCAAATCCCTTTCTCCCAAATTCTGGGTTTTTACCATTGTCGAGACAGGGGAAACATCTGGAGGCAATCGGCTCCATCCTGCAGTAGGCAAAGGGGAACCGCGCGCCCTCGAGTCCTCGCGCTGGAAATCGGGCGGCGGCGCCAGGGTGAGCGCTCCCTCCGTTCTCAACGTGCTTAATTAGCGCCTATTTACAAAACGCAGCTTTTATTTGAGCAAACATCATAAAGCTTTCATCAGGATAATCTCACGTTATACAATCTGGAGGCACAGCAACTCCCCCCGTCCTCCCCGAGGATGGAGCAGATAAAGGATTCGCTTTATTATCATAATTATCGTGGCTGTTATTTTGGTGCGCGCAGGCAAAGTGCGTAAATAGGTGCGATGATTAAGAATGTCATGAAAAATGAGAAGGGATCGCTCATGGGAGGGCCCAGCCGGGATGGGGGATCCAGCAGCTTCCCGGCGCCGCCGGGAACGCGGGGGCTCAGGGAGGAACCTGACGGGTTTCCTGCTGTGGGCAGGGGCTGCTAGCTCCGGTCCGGCGCCCCAGAGGCGGATCTGGAGGGGTAGGACCTTGCCCCCAACTCCAGGAGCCTCTCCTGGACCCCGGGCGCAGCAACAGCGCCCAGCTCTAGGGTGAACGGCCAGCAGGTTTGTTCCAATGCATGTATAAAAGGGGGGGGAAATGCCTGAGGTTTAGCCGCGGCTGTCGATAGCCCCGGCAGCTGACCTCGGAGGCGGCCTCAGTAAGGCTGCGGAGCCCCATGTTTCGAGCCTTGGAGGTGCCAAGAGCCCCTTTCAAGTTTGTGCGGCGCGGGCCAGGCGCACAAGCTCCAGCTCTAGGGCCCGAGCGCGGCGCTGCTGGCGCCCACAGTCTGCTCGCAGCCAGCCCGGGAGAAGGGGAGGGCCCCGCTTTTGCCCCGCCTCCTCCTGGAACAGCCAATAGGCGGCGGCTCCCAGCCCCACGTGAAGGGAGCCTGGCCTGGCAGCAGGCAAAATGTGAATGAGAAAGAGGAGCGCGATTTAAAGGTGCTGGCGGCGCCCGCGGAAGACAAGTGCGCCAGCTTCGCGGGCTCCCCAGCCGCCCGAGGGAGGCGACCGACAGCAGGGCAGACAGACGGACGCACGGACGCCAGGGAGCCCGGGCCGAGGGCCGCGGAAGCGACGCGTGTGGGCTCCGACGGGCAAACAGCGGGAAGCAGCTCCAGAGAGCCCACGGGGCCCGGGCGCCTACTCCACTCCGGGGCGCACGGCCTCACCCCGCGCACTGCTCGCACCCGCTCCTGCCGGGGATGCAGCGGGCCCAGGACTGAGGAGCATCTGCTCTCCGGGTCCTGCTCGGCCCCTGCCCGGTGCAGCCGGCTGTGCTCCCAGAGCCCGGCGGGCTTCCCGGTGGCGGCGAGGCGCGGGGACTTCTCGCTTCTCGCGGGCCTCTCCCGAGCGCGTCTATGAGCGCAGCGTTCCCGCCGTCGCTGATGATGATGCAGCG